CGCGCTCATACTGTAAGCAATTGTAGACTCGCCGGACAATAGCGCATTTCTAGTTTTTTTTTGAACATAGAAACGCCTCAGGAGGTATTGGATGCATACTTAACACTTGATAAAAGGTACTAAACTGTTTGACGGGAATGTAATGACTAACTCGCTATTTAACTTGGTGATACGAAATTTGACTGTAAAATACAAACGGAGGATTTGCGTACTATCGAAGTAAATCATCCATATTCGGGACTCCGGTTCCCTCTGCGGATGGCCCACCACCACTGAAAATGCCTTGTACCATTGAAGAAACTCTTTAAATGAAGAAAAATAGAGTTTTGAAGCAGTGGGGCAAGTGAAGCATACGATTTCAGCGTCAAGGTTTTCGGTGCTGTCGTAACTACGAAGCTGTGTAATTCAGGCTCTCATTACTTGAATATGGATATAAGAAGCTGGCCGGCTTACGTAGATTGCATCTGAGGGTCGGACATCAGACGCTGTGCCATATTCTGCATCACAGGATTGCTGAGGAGAGCACCAAGATCTAAATTGCCGAAACTATTGGGAGCAGCATTCGATGATTGCCTGAGATTTGCCTCAGCCAGAGCTAAGCTTTGTTTAAAGTTCAAGTTATTAGGGTCCAGTGAAATTGCTTTCTTGTAGACCTCGATGGCCTTTTCGTATTTCACCATATTACAGTAGGCTAGACTAAAAGAAATGAGATTTTAGTGGCGTTATTCATTCATGAGAATGTTAATGAAAACAGTGCTCTACCCCATGCGCCCATAAGCTTTGCTGTATGATGGGTCAATTTCTAGTGCCTTCTCGCAATCCTTTATACAATCGTCATCCTTGTTAAGACGACTTTTGGCAGCAGCCCTAAAGAGCAGGCAACGGATTAAGCAATGCATGACCATCAGTCAGCGTAGTTCCATCAAAAGCCAAACCTGTTACAGTAATAAATGGCATTGTTTGGGTCCAAGGCTATTGCCTGGCTGTAGCAATCAATGGCCTCCTCAAACTTTTCCAACGCCATAAACGAATTGCCCTGTGTTTTCAAATTCTCAGCCTTGATTTTGTCTTCCGGAGTCACCTGATGACCACTTGGATTTGAAGTCTGCCTATAAAACAAGGTCGCAAATCCCAGCTTACGGAAATGAATTTCTCAAACAGGATAAAAAGATCCGTTCTTGGCTCTTCACTACCAGAAACATCGAAAGCGCTCTCGATGCACTGCTTTGCAACTACATAAGATAGCAGAAAACAAGAAGGTATTAAGCGTACCCTCCAAGCTTTCAATGGTATCATTTGGGTAATCGGTGGATGAGCATTCATCCCTAAGAAAAGCTGCGATGCACTGATAGAACTGACGCTTTGTATCCGTTATCATCTAAAATTGGATTGATAGTTAATAGCCAAAGAAAATTAGAGTTAAAGAGGAGCAGGAAACAAAAATGAAAAATTAATATTTTATAAGCCAAGATAAAGTGGACAACACATAGAATCGCAACAAAAAGCATGTCGATTCTATTGAATTATTGGGGTTCGAAACGCATGTGGGAAAATGCAAACGATAGAAATACAGTAAAGGACCAACGACATAGACACCGAGGCCAAGCAGCCGGGTGATTGAACGCATGAGTCGAACTCATCTCACAAAAGAAAAAATAAACCATTACAAATTTAATTAAACGAGGCACAGCCGAATTATTAAACTTCAATAAGTGCTTGATATGTGTGGAAAATGATCATCACATATTTTCACAGCCTAATAAAGGAAAGCTTCTGATAACTAAGAGGCAAATTAAGTAGTTTAATTAAAAAACTTTTAGGCGTATTTTATAATTAAATTAAAAATTTAATTTTTTGTTCTAAAAATTGCAGAAATTTACACTATTTCCTAGGTTGGTAAATACCGCTCCATATAAAATTGGAGGGAATTTGTCAAATTTTTATCGGGTGCGCCTTAAGTGAAGATTAATGTCTAAGTAAATTGTACACCGCGCTGCTATTTATGACGGTGAGCTCCGCTAGTGTGGCATGATAATGGATTAGTTTGGTCTATTGTTCCCTGGGATTCACATGTCATATCAGCTAAACTTTAGACTGCTTTAGATTCGAAATGACGGAAAAGAGGATTCTCGATAAGCGAGAACCTGAGATTCGAAATTCTGCAAATTTGGCTTTGCTTCATGCAGGCAGAAGTTATGAACTGATGCAACTTTCTTCCACGAAAAATTATTTCTTTATTTGCGGTTTTCTCCGTCTAGACAGGAGGAAAGTAAAACGAATAGGTAATGCCTAGTAGTTCTTATAGACAAGCATTTTTGTTCATTTACTTTGTATGCTTATATGCATTCCTCTTTGGAATAAGCTGTGGACTTCTTATTATTGTGCTGCAGCTGATAATTAGTGACGATAAACCTTACCTGACTGGTCATCAAAGTCCCTTGAATCTAGCTCCCGGTAAGTATGTCATCCATTGTGTGGATAAGGCTGCCTTAGTATTTAAATGGTCGATAGATTTAGTAAAATTTGGTTGGATATTTTATGCTGAATCTATTTAACCTCCTTTTACATTAAATGGTAGCCTTTTATGTATGCTAGTAGTAACAGCTGAAGGCATTTTATTATTGGCTCACTATTTATAAGTTTTTTTAGATTGTAAATTGCTGCATTTTACACTTTTTTGGTGTTATGTCTAAAAATATTCTTTTCAGGTCTGAGCCACCGTCCGAATATTGATTTCATGACCTCAGTTATTGCTTACGAATCCTCAAATCCACAATCATATATGCCATATGTGCAAAACCTTCGAACTTTTTTCTACCTCTATGAAGAGGTGAACATTAAACCTCAAGATGGCTTTGCCACTTGCAAGGATGGTGTCAAGACACCAAATATTCCCGAATTAGTATGCAAGTTTTATCCTATCATCCTCGAGTCTTGCGTGAAGGAAAACAATTATGGATACGACAGAAGCGAACCCTGCGTTGTAATAAAAATAAACAAAGTAGGTCTAGAATTGCGGTGAAATTTTAACAAATTGAGGACGTTCGCATAAAGGTGCTTTGTATCGAACGCTTTTCTTAGGCAATTATTCGAGAAGAGAGTCGTTAAATTTTTCGGTTGTCATTCCTTGTGAAAATAGTTTGACGTTGCATACTTGAGCGTCCATTAAAGTACGTCATTTGACGTTTACAGTCTAGGAAAAATGAATTTTGATTTTATATCCTAAGTGCATCTTTGAGTTAGGCGTCTAAAGACATGAGTCTGGAAGTAGGTTAGGAACGAGCTTTTTTAATGTATATTTGCATGCAAAGGTTTTTGATAAGGTTCCACCTTGTGGTTAATTGGACGATTTGAGAAAGACGTCCTAGATCCACGTGATTGCCTCTTTCCACTTATTTGGCCTCAGTGATCTGGATTGCTTCATATCACTACAATTATTCATCGCATGAATTTGTAGGTGTATGGCTGGCTTCCCGACATTCAAAACATGTCGATGAGTAGGAGTCCTCTACTTCGGTGTTTTGGAAGAGTAAGTATGCGAATAATTTGCGGTATTTCTCTTTAAATGTTCATGATAACATTCAGATTCGTAGCTTTGCAAAAGTATTCCCTCTGGTTTATGATCTCTCGACATCATTCTCATCCTCAATGGTTCCACTTTTCAGGCCTTCTAAAAATCTAGATCCAATAAGATGCACCGTGTTACGCAAATCTAATTTCGCCCATTCACTAGTCAAGACTGCGTTAACTTATTTTGAACCTTATAACTCAGTTAAAGAGGTAAATGCATTTCAGTATCATTCGGACTTTGAGGTCTTTGGCTCTTTGCATTACTACCCCAACGTGACGATTGATGGCATTGTCTAGTAAGCCCTCCTTTGCTTTTCAATGCGGTTTCTAGTAGACTCTGTTGCTGAACCGAGTTTCTCATTGTCCATTTTAGTGGCATTTTTGACAGCGTCTACTTTCCCTACATCATCCAATACGCATATCGGTCGCCAGTTGTCGCTGTTCAGA